TAAGATACGTGGTGTAAAGTATGAGATGGGTCGGTGAGCTATGAGATGTGAACTGGAGGTGAAAGCTATGCGATCTAAGCTACATGGTGTAAGATATGTGGTGTGAGCTGGAGGTGAAAGTTATGCGGCGTAAGCTAGGTTGTGCAATATGTGTCGTGTAAGCTATGTGTTGCGAGCTGGGAACAACGATGCGCCATACGCAGTGGTGTGTAAGCTGTGGCGTGCAAGTTCTGGAGTGCAAGCCATGTGCAAGCTAGGTCGTGGAAAGCTACGCGGTGTAAGTTATGTGGCGTGAGCTTCAGGTGGAAGCTACGCGGTCAAAGCTACGTGGTTTAAGCAATGGTGCGGAATATCCCGATGTAAACATACATACATACATGCATGCATGCATACATGCATACATACATACATACCTACCTACATACTTACCTATCTACATCCCTACCTGCCGACCTGCAAGCATACCTGCAAACCTGCCTACCTACCTATCTACTGATCTACCGACCTACCTACCTACCTACCTACATACATACATACATACATACATACGAGCAAACATAGATACATACATGCATATATACACACATATATACACACATACATATGATACCTTAGAAAAAAACTGTCCGGATATGTGTATGGGCTATAGGGCTATAGGGGCTATAGGGCCATAGGGCTGTAGGGCTATAAGGCTATGGGGGCATGGGGCTACAGGGCTATAGGGCTATAGGGCTATGAGGCTATAGGGCTATAGGGCTATAGGGCTATAGGGCTTTAGGACTATAAGGCTGAAAGGCTATAATGCTATTAGGGCTATAGGGCTATAGGCTATAAGGCTATAGGGCTATTAGCGCTATAGGGCTAATGGGCTATAGGGCTATAGCGCTTTAGGGCTATAGGGCTGTAAGGCTATGAAGCTATAGGGCTACAAGGCTATAGGGTTACCGGGAACCCGGGCACCCGGGCACCCGGGCGTGCCGCCGAAATCGGCGCAAGAGCTAACCTAAACATATAAATCCGCTAGGACCCCTACAAGGCAAGCCCTGATTGGGGAACATACATACATACCAACCTTGATACATACATACATACATGCGTACATGCATGCATGTATCCATACATACATACGTGCATGCATACATACGTGCATGTGTACATACATACATACATACACGTACATACATACATACATACACACATACATACATACATACATACATGCATACATACATGCATACATGCATACAGACAGACAGACAGACAGACAGACAGACAGACATACATGCATGCATGCATACATGCATGCATGTATGCATACACACATACTGACAGACAGACATATGTACATACAAACAGATACACAGACACACCTACATACATATATGTATGCATACATGCATACAAACATACACAAATACATACATACATGCATACAAACATACATACATACAATCATACATGCATACAAGTATACATATACGCATGCATACATGAAAATGCATATACGCATATATGCAAATACATATATATATATATATATGCATATATATATATATATATATATACATGCATCGCGTCAGCTATGTGTTGTGAGCTGAAAGTGGAAGCTATGCAGCCTAAGCTACGTGGTTCAAGCTAGCCTGTGTGGTGTATGCCGTGTGAGCTATGTTGTGCGAGCTAGCAGGGGAAGCTATGCGGGCTAAGCTGTGTTGTGTAAGCTATGCGGTGCAAACGATGTGTGAGATAGGTTGTGCAAGCTATGGGGTGTAAGCAATGTGGCATGAGCTCAGCCTACGACGCGCCCACGAGCGCCCAGGAGGCGGCACGGGCGGTACCGTGGCGCAACCTCGGCAAACCTCCCCAGCGCACGGACGCCCACGAGAGCCCACGAGGCGGCACGGACGACAACGTGGCGCAGCCTCCGCAACCCGTCCCAAATACACGGAGCGCCCACGAGCGCCCACAAGGCGGCATAGGCCACAACGTGGCGAAAACCCAGAATAGTCAAGACAAGAAAAACTTAAGTGCAAGCAGGTTTGGGGAAAAACGTTCCCAGCGCCGTGAGATCAACTAAGATCGGGGCTGTCCTCTGAGATCCGGGAGGGGCTTTTCCTTTCACGCCATTTTCGGACCCCCGGGGCCCTCATGGATCGAAGCGGCTAGAGAAGCTTCGCAGAAAGATAGGGCATAGGTTTTCGGTTGTGATTTCTGACGAGGCCTTATTTTGTTCGTGACGTCAGATATCAGTGTCGCCCGCCGTCCATCATGGAACGCGGCATGCCTGGGTCACCCAACTTCGCGCTTCGCGCCGCGCGCCGCGCGAGGCGACGTATGATTTTCGTGCACCTGGCACCGCCAACTCTCCAGAGCTCCGACGTCGCGCGTCTGCATTCAACCTGCGGTCCCCCCTGGTTCTTAGAAAGGTGCGGGGGGGCCAGAGAAACATTGGGGCGGAAGCTGCGCGCGGTCTTCGGCCAGTCGGGGGCCGACGAGCGCCCACGAGGCGGGCTCTCCGAAGAGGTCACGCGTGCGCGGTGGTCGTGCGCGAGCTGCGCGTCTTGGACCCAATACACAGGGTCTAAACTGGAGGCAACTCCTGGGAGGGCCTCGTCGAAAAAATCATAGGAAAATTGAGCCCCGCTGGGGGGCTGCTGCGCCGGATCGGGCCGCGGACGAAGCGAGAGCACGCCGGATGCAGCGGGATGGGGCTGGACGAGGCGGAAGCAAGCCGGATTGAGCGGGATTTCGGGCCAGGGCAACGTCAGAATTGGACCTCCCGGGAGTTGCATCCGAATAAGCTGGTGGGGCGGGCTCAGCAGGTACGAGTCGCAACGTAGCGAGGCCTACTGAGTGCAGTGCAGATGCGCGAGGTCCGAGTGAAGCCGAATTGGCGTGCTTGGAACGATCATCAGACAACGAGAATGCGAGACGATGAGGATCTCGCAGCACCCCGGAAGTCAAGCGGCAGTGCCTTCCCACCGGGCTTCAAGCCACCACATATTGGTTCCTGTCGCCCCATAGATGCATGTCCATCCTGCGCGTGCGCTGCGCGCGCGTGTGTAGTCAGGTCATGGCACTTGGAAGGTACTTGAAGCTCCCACATCGCTCAGTGATGTGACAATAGCTCACACCAACTGACAAGAACATAACGCCACAACACCACGAGCGACGGGTTCAAGAATTCGGGCCAGGCGGCCAATCTTTGTGACGGCGTCGACGAGTGTAAAGCATGTGTCGCCCCCGCAAATAGCATTCTCGTGCTGTCATGAAAAGATGTATGTATCAGGGCTTGGCACTGCATGGCTCAGCGAACATTTACCCTCCCTCCTCCGTTTGTGCCGGGGGCGGGAGATCGGTGGCGCCAAGCATCACCGAGACCGCCACCAGCTTCAGCTTCAGGAGGAGGGAGGAGGAGGAGCCAGAGGAGGAGGAGGAGCAAAAGAGGGAGGCATACTCAGAGATCCGACGCATGGTTTGTTCCATATGGGCCTCCCCGAAGTCCCGACCCTTTCCCCAGGGTCGGCTTTTCATCCCGAGCCACTTTCTGACAGTACTGCGCGGGCCCAGGCGAGGGCCCCAAGGAGGTTTGGAACGTCGTGAGCAAACTCCGCATCGGTTCCTTCAATACGTTCGGGGGGAGGAGGCCCGCCAGAGGCCGAATATCGCGAACAAAATCCCCATCGACTTCTTCAATCCGTTGCAGGCCTGGGGCGGGGCGGAGGAACGAGGGGAGGAGGCGGCGACTACCACCCTGTGGGGCACGACGCGAGCGCGACACACCTTTACACCACCTCGGCCCATCTGAACACGACGAAGACGAGGGCGCTGGTCATAATGACAGAACCACCCGCAGCATCGAACATTGAGAAAAGGGAGAAGGAGGCAGGGGGGAAAACGGGGAGAACAAATCCGCCGGCCCCCTTGTGGGGCCACCAGGCTGTAGGGCGAAGGTTCGCAGTTTCCTGTACCAGTTGCAGCTTCCAGTTTCCACTGTTACAATTCTGCTTCTTGCTGCTTACTGTTCCTTGTTACAGTTCTGCTTATTGCTGCTTACTGTTCCTTGTTGATGGACCGCGCGAGGAGGGGAGGCCCAAAACGGGCATTTTTACCACGGCCAAAACGTATGCTCTGAATTGCTGGGGTGGGTACACATTGACACCCCTCACGCAGATCGGCGGGGTCAGGGTGCAAAAACACATGGGATTTGCCACATTTCTGAAATTCGGTTGTACCCCTCACGCAGATCGGCGGGGTCAGGGTGCAAAAACACAAGGGATTTGCCACATTTCTGAAATTCGGCGGCACCCCTCACGCAGATCCGTAGGGTCAGGTTCCAAAAACACAAAGGATTTGCCACATTTCTGAAATTCGGCGGCACCCCTCACGCAGATCCGCAGGGTCAGGGTCCAAAAACACAAGGGATTTGCCACATTTCTGAAATTCGATGGCACCCGTGACGCAGATCGGCGGGGTCAGGGTCGAAAAACAAACAGGTCCCGATACTGCTTCACGGCCGCGCCCAGAGCTCATGATTTAGCTTTTGCATCTTTCATTATCCGAGACAGGGGGCCGGCGGCATGGGGCGAAGCCCTTACGGATTGTGGACTCGGAGCTTGGACTCGGGGGATGCGGAAGAGGAGGACGAGGACGAGGAGGAGGACACGGAGGAAGAGGAGCAGCAGACCAGGCTCTGGGGATTAGAATGAACCGACCCGCGGACCTGCGCGCCGAGGAGGACGAGTAATGCGAGGAGGACGAGGACAGCAAAGGACGCAAGGACGAGGAGGAGAAGAAGGAGGAGGAGGAGCAGGACATCAATGAGGGCGAGGACGAAGGCGAGGGGGACGAGGGCGAGGGATGACGAGGCTAGCGGGCAGGTCGAAGACGAACACGAGGACGCATCGCGGGCCGCACTTGGACCCGCCAGCCAAGGCCGCGCCGGCGCCCACGCGCGCACGGAGAGCGGCGCAGCGCGGTGCGGCGCGCGCTGGCGCGACTGGTCACAGGAAACGCCGGACTCGCCAGCCCCTCCGGCTGGCGGCGCAGGGCGGCCACCGCCCGCCGCCCTGCCTTTTTGCGCAGGGGGGAGGGGGGGCGCGCTCCGCCTCTGCCGCGGCCACCTCGCTGCTCATCCTCCGCCTCCTGCCCCTTTTGCTTTTGTTTTTCCTCCTCGTTGCGCCTCCCACTCGCTCGGTCTCCTCCTCGTCCTCCTCCTCCTCCTGCTCCTGCTCCTCCTCCTCCTCCTCCACCTCCTCCACCTCCTCCTCCTCCTCCTCTTCCTCCTCCTCTTCCTCCTGCTCTTCCTCCTCTTCCTCCTCTTCCTCTGTTTCCTCTTCCTCCTCCTATTCCTCCTCCTCCTCTGCCTCCTCGATCCGCCTCCTTTTTGTCTCATCCATTCGCATCCTCCCCCCGCCCCCACCGCCTCCCCGACCCCGATCTCCTCCTCCTCCTCCTCCCTCTCCTCTCCTCCTCCTTCTCCTGTTCCTCCTCCTCCCTCTCCTCCTCCTCTCCTCCTCCTCCTCTCCTCTCCTCCCCCTCCTCCTCTCCTCCTCTTCCCTCCTCCGCCTCCTCCTCCTTCTCCTCCTCCTGTTTTTCCTCCTCTTCCTCCTCTTCCTCCTCCTCCTTTTTCTCCTCTTCCTCTTCTCCTCCTCCCCTCCTCCTCCCCCTCCTCCTCCTCCTCCTCCTCCTCCCCTCCTCCCCTCCCCCCTCCTCCCTCCTCTTCCTCCTCCTGAAAAAAAAAAAAAAAAAAAAAAAAAAAAAAAAAAAAAAAAAAAAAAAAAAAAAAAAAAAAAAAAAAAAAAAACGGTTATGAGCCCCGGGAAGGCCACTGCAATGGAAACATGCGAAATGCCCTGGAAGAAATCACAAACACTTATTATTCAGTAGCGAGAGTTCAACAACAACAGCAACAACAACAACAACAACAACAACAACAACAACAACAACAACAACAACAACAACAATCATGTAAGACTGGGGACACTCCGTTCTCACCAGTGCCAGGGTTTTCATAGGAGGCGGGCAATACCCCCACTTTGTGGGGGGGCCGGTTCAAGCTCTACCAAATTTCCAAACGACTCTTCGCCACCACCCACACCCAGCTTCCCGCCCTATGACGTTCGGACACTTCACTTCGTGGCATGCGGACGACCGTGGCTACTATTCAGGGCCCCGCGGCCGACGACGACGGCGTGCGCGCGCGAAGAAAAAACGAATGTGTCCCGCATGGTATTATTTGACAGGGATGATGGCCCTGGCAGGTGCGCAACCGTTGTTGCAGAAGTTCGAAAAAGTTGCTCGCAAAAGCCCGTTTGACAGAAATGTTTAAAAAGTGTTGGGTTTCCTACGAATCCGCAAGAGCGCGCGGGATGAGATTTTGACATTTTTTTTTGAAAAACCATTGGTTTTTTGATGTTTTTATGTTAAAATCGCTACGAAAACTAAGGTTTTGGAAGGATTTCGTCTTGCGCGCGCGAATGTCCACTTTACCTTATTTTTTGCAAGGGATTCTTGAAGTTTGGTTATGTTAGAACAAGAGATGTCATTTTATAGTGTTTTTTGCAAGGGAAAGCGGGCGTCAACAAAACAACCGGATCTGGTATACCCCGTTTTGCCTGAGACTTCCTCACGAAAATGATGAAAATGAGGCTGCGGCCTAGGCGCGGCGGGGGGGTCGTGCACCAGGGGTCCCAACAATAATTATTCTTAAGAAGAAATAATGTTCAACAGCAGCAGCAGCAGCAGCAACAACAACAACAAAAACATGATCGACCCACGAACACGGAAAGGAACATAGAAATGTAACGTATGGCAAAAGTTTTCAAACACACCTGATTGGGTGACGGGCAAGTGCAATGCTGATTGTATCGATCTTGATGTACCGTGCCGAGGGCTGTGCTGTGCTACACCGTGCTGAATTGCGATGTGCCATGCCGCGGTTGTGCTCTATAGCGTCGTGGATCGAGTCTTCCTTTGCATCCGAGTCCTGACCGAACTGATCTGGATCTCTGGGTGTTGGGAGCGCGGCGCTTGGGCAAATTGCAGGAAATTCCAACGCAAGGATATTCTTCAGTATGTTGCAAGCAAGTCTCCAGCGAGAGCGCGACTCCAGAGCTCCGGGAGAGCGATTCCGAAATAAATTGTAAGGAAGTCCCAAGAGAGAGCGCGACTCCTGCATAAAATGCGAGGATGTCTCGGGCGGGAGCGGGGGTCCTGGCTAATTTGTGAAGAAGTCTCAGGCGGGAGCCGTTGTTGTTGTTGTTGTTGTAACCTGGGGGCCAGGGGGCCACTTTGAGCAGGAAGAATTCCCCTGTCAAAAAACACGGTGCGAGCGTCGAAGGGCACACTTTGATTGAGAAAAAACTGTATGCACCGGTGGGGGGATCAACAATAATTATTTTTCCGAAATGAGAACTCAGCAACAACAACAACAACAACAACAACAACAACAACAACAACAACAACAACAACAACAACAACAACAACATTAACAACATTTACAACATTAACGACGACGACGACGACGACGACGACGACGACAAGACATGACAAGACAAGAGCCCATGGAGGCCTCTGATGTCAGTCCCACACGTGAAACTACAGAACTCTAGGTAGGCAACTACACCGCCAACTACTGAAAGTTACGTAGCGCAGAGACAGCCACGCTCTGCTCAGGGCAGCACTGGCCCTGGCTGGAGGTCCCCCCAAGGCACGCAGCCTCGGATCGGGGTCCCAGCTCTTAGGCGCCAGGTCGTCCACCTCTCCCCCGCCCCGACCCCCCCCCGACTCCCGCCCCGACCTCTTGCTCTGTATGGATTTTGCCGCGGAAGCAGCATAACTGGTATGGATGGCAGATCAGCGGCGCAACCCTGCGCGACGGTGCTAGTCGCACCACTGATCATGTTTTGTGAAATCACCCTTCTCTCAAGCAAACAGGCAAACCGCTCGCTCTGCGCAACGACGACAACAACAGCAGCAGCAGCAGCATCATAAACAACGTCAACAGCATCAGCAGCAACAACATCGACAATATAAGTTTATGACTGTTCGCTCTCAGATGCTCGATTGTCATTCAACGTGTATTCCCCAAACAGTTGATACCCGCCCTCTTGGTCTTCGATCGCACCCCCTTTCGGGGGGGGGGTATATCGCTCCCCCTTTGCAGCCTGGGCCCAAGCAAGCGGCGGGGCGGCCACGGACCGTCGGCTTGGCCAGCGGCAGCGCTGACCGGTGGCAACCCGACCCCAAGAGGGACGGACAGGGGACCGACGACGACGACGACCACGAGGAAGAGGAGGGGGGAAGGAGGAGGACAAGGAGGACGAGGACGAGAAAGACGAAGAGGAAAAAGAGGACGAGGCGGAGGAGGAGGAGGAGAAGGAGGAAAGAGGAACGGAGGGAGGTAGGAGGAAGGAGAGAAAAAAGGAGGAGAGCGCTGAGGGGCTGACAGACTGGCACCGGCAAGAAGCGAGGCAGTCGCACGGACTATCGGCCTGGCTGGCTGAAGGGCCAGCGTGCTGGGCCCCAGGCAGCAGGCGGGCCCAAGGGGGTCACGAAGGGCGACAGCGGGGCCACGAAGAGCACACGTACGGGGCCACGAAGGGCGCGAGCGAACGGGGCCGACGAAAGGCATAGAATGCGGGGCCGAAGAGGGCAAAGACGGGACCACTGAGGGCAGCAACGGGGCCACGAATGGCAGCGAGGGGGCCACTAAAGGCGACAGCGGGGCCACGAAGGGCATGCATATGGGGCCACGCAGGGCGGGATCGAGCGGGGGCCATGAATAACATAAGTATATGGGGCCGAAGAGGGCAAAGACGGGGCCACTGAGGGCAGCAACGGGGCCACGAAGGGCAGCGAGGGGGACACGAAGGGCGACAGCGGGGCCACGGAGGGCATGCACATGGGGCCACGACGGGCGCGAACGACCGGGAGCCACGAAGGGCATACATATACGGGGCCACAAAAGGCGACAGCGGGGCCACGAAGGGCATGCACATGGGGCCGCGATAGGCGCAAACGAGCGGGGGCCACGAAGAGCAGACGCATATGGGGCCACAAAAAGCGACACCGGGGCCACGAAGGGCAGTAATGGGACCACGAAGGCAGCGACGGGGCCGCGAAGGGCGACAGCAGGACCACGAAGGGCATGTGGGGCCACGACGGGCGCGTGCAAGCGGGGGCAATGAACAGAATATGATGCGGGGCAACAAAGGGCAGCGACGGGGCCACTGAGGGCGGCAACGGGGCCACGAAGGGCGCGGGCGAAAGCGACCACGGAACCACTACGGGCAGCGATGGGCATCGAGAGCGGGCGAAGAGCAGCGAGAGGCGACTGCAAATCCTGACGGGCGTGTCGGGCGGGCGGGCCCCGACGGGCGGGTCGAGCGGGCGGGTCGCTAATCGCAAAAAAAAAATATAGCGGAAGCGCAACTCCCAGAAATCTGGAGGAACTCCAAAACGAAAACGCGATTCCTGACTGCCGATGGGGCGGCAACTGGATAATTTGCGGAGGAGTTGCATGCGAGAGGGCGACTCCTGATCTGATTGCACGGAAGTCCCAAGCGGAAAATAAATGTCTCAATGATGTGTGAAGAAATATCAGGCGGGTGACGCGGTTGTTGCAGCGCTGGGGCCCGCCGCCCGCGTCGAGGAGCGGCATCTGAACAAATCGCAAAAATCTGAAGCGAGAGCGCGATTCCTGAATACATCGCGAGGAAATCTAAGGCAAAAACCGGATGCCTCCATATTTCGCGAGGAAATATCAGGCGGCGGCCCGCCGCCCAGTTCGACGTCCAAGACTTTCCCGGATCAACAAAAATGGGTGCGATCCCCGGGAGACGCACTTCAATCGGAAAAATAAAACGGCGACCGGGGGGATCAACAATAGTTACGCTGTAGAAACGAGAGCGCCACACCAACGACAACAATCACTTTACCATTACGCGCCATGCTTTCACACGTCACAAGCATCCTTCTGGGCACCACACCCCAGCGCGGGGGATTGTTATGGCAGGCGGGGCCCGACGCTCCCCCGCCCACACCCCCCGCCCCAGAAAGCATTGCCATCA